CCATATCTACTTGTTCCTCCTGGGACAATGAACCCCACTCCCTTTCAATGACAGATAACACGTCTTTTTTGTATTCTTTTAATAATACATTGAAAGCCTTCTCTGTAGCTGCAATGATATATGACCCTTTACCAGATACGACATTGACGTCATCAATGATTTAAAGATTTCGACATGGTATGGCACGACGGGCTAATACAAAAACTTAAAAAAATAGGACTCAAGGTCAGATAATAAACTACATCCAAGACTTCCTAAACAATCGTAAAATAACCGTGGGTATTGACCAAACACTATCTGTACAATGTCCCCTAGAAAATGGCACTCCCCAGGGCAGTATCCTCAGCCCAACCCTCTTCAATATAATGATAAACGATCTATTCGAGGGCCTATCCCCTAAAGTAAACACATCAAAATTCGCGGATGATGGAGCCCTTTGGATCCGCACTAAAAGCATTAAAACGGCCCAAAATTTACTCCAAAAATCTCTTAATACAATACAACAATGGGCTGACAAATGGGGCTTCTCCCTTAACTCAGAAAAAAACAACAGGAATAGTATTCAAACATAAAAACATGAAACCCGCCTCCCTAATCCTCCAGCTAAACAACCAAACAATCAAATTTCATAAACAAACCAAATTCTTAGGACTTATTTTCGATGAACATCTCACCTGGGATGCTCACATCCAAAACCTAACAACTAAATGCAGTAAAGACCTAAACACCCTAAGATGCCTAACTGGCTCTAACTGGGGAGCCTCCAAAGATACCCTCCTCTCTCTCTACATATCACTAATTAGATCAAAACTAGACTACGGCTGCGCCATATACAACACCCTAAACAACTCTTTATCAAAATAACTTGACTCAATACAATATCAGGCCCTCAAACTAATTACACGTACCCAACATGGCACCTCCTACACTTCACTTCAGGCCTTAACAGGAGAAATGCCACTAAGTCTACGCAGGGAACAGCTAAGCTTAAATTTCTGGGCCGCATCCCAATCAAACCCTCTCATCCCAAACTTAATAAACCAAAATATCAGCCCCAAAAACCAAGCTCTGGCTCGTAAACACCCCTTACTTACCCCAATATCCCAAAGAATAACAAACTACCTAAATGAACACCAAATTAAAAATCTTAAACAAAACTGCAAACAATCAAATATCTTCACACCTAAACTTAAAATACCCAAAATAGACACAACACTAGCTAGCCAAATAAATAAACAAACCGACCCAAACATAGCTAAAACCACCACACTAGCATACATACACGAAAATTGGCCAAATTGGTGTCACATTTACACGGACGGATCTTCAGATCCGACCTCCAAACACACAGGTTTCGGAGTCCATACAACACAACCAACTAAAACCACACAATCCTTCCGACTCCCAAACAACCAATCAATATTCACGGCAGAACTAATGGGCATGGCCTCAGCCCTCCATAATCAAGAATAAAAAAAAACACCCAAAAAAATCCTAATACTTACCGACTCCCTAAGTGGACTGCAAGCCCTCCAAAACAAAAATACCAAAAACCGACCTAAATTAATAAATCAAATACTTAAAAGCTCCAACGACCCAACTAAGGCAGGCAAACAAACAACCTTCTTGTGGATACCCGCCCACGTAGGAATATACGGTAATGAAAACGCCGATAAGGCAGCCAAACTATCCCTCAAAATCCAAGAAATAAGCTTAAACTTACCCATCTCAAAATCAGAAATTAAAATCGTAAACAAGCAAAAAATCACCAAAAAATGGCATATCCTATATCTAAACTCAAATAGCCAAATCAAAAAGGTACTCAGCAAACCACTAACCAAACCAAAAATTTTCCATCCATCAAAAAAAATAGACAGAGTAATCACTAAACTCCAAACAGGACACACCAACCTAAATAACCACCTAAAAAACATTAAAAAAACACACTACAGGTAACTGCCCACACTGCAAACAACTAGAAACCCCAGAACACGCACTCATCCACTGCACACACTACCTAACACATCGAACCGCATTACAACCACCCTCAATCTAAACAAGGCTCTCACTCTAGAAGCAATACTAAACCCACAAAATAAACTAGAAAACTTCAAGGCCTTAGGCGTATTCTAAATCAAAACGGAACTAATAAAACGCATCTAAAAACACTATAATCTACCAAATCAAAATCACATAAACAAACAAACATCCACCATACCCAGCCCCCTTAGTTCTACTCCCCAACCCCATCGGCATCTATTCCAAATCTCAAAATTCCCAAATTCTATATAAGCATCCCCTAGAGCCCCCTCTTGTGTTGCACACACCACTATCGCCCCTTTCGGAAACACATTAAATGGCCTGGCCGGGCCCGTGTGCGAAATACGCATCAGTCGGAAAGCGCACGTTAAACCTCCAAAGTAAGTTAGTAAGTAAGTTAGCCAGTGGCCAAGTGCAGGTTAGGGCGACGGTAGTTGTATTGTTGTTCACAGACAGCAAACAGCTAGGAAAATCTGAAACAATAATGACAGACGTTAATAACGTGCACAACTTATCCTATGGTCTAAATGAAAATGAAAAAAAAATGGGAGGTAAATTCTGTTATATTTATATACATGTTATTATTTACAAAACTATATGAAACACTTCTGTGTTATAAATTATGATCTGTTTCAACATACGTTAGCCAGTGGCCAAGTGCAGGTTAGGGCGAAGCTAGGTGTACTGTTGTTCACAGACAGCAATCAGCTAGGAAAATCCTGAAACAATATTGACAGATGTTATAAACGTTCAGAAATGTCGCAACTACTCTAAATGTTAAAAATACTTTCATTTATGGAGTTAAATAATTTTTTAGGAATATATGTATTTTGAATAATATTTTAAATATTTCTTTGAAATAAATTACAGCACGTATCAATGTACGTTTGCCTTTGGCAAATGCAGTTTCCGAAGTAGACGTTAAGAGTTGTAGGTGGTCAATACACACTGGAAACGCCTGAATAATATGGGGAATTTTTTATTGTGTGTCTCGATTTGTATACATGTAGGATTGTGTTGTAGCAATTAGGAATAATTAAATTTTCGTTGTGTTCATGGAAATTCCTGCATTCTGATTTGCTGAATTGGTCACGTGTTATTGCATTCATTTCCCAATGAATGTAAAAAATTAAGCCACGCCCACCGCGGCGCACTACTTTTATTACTGCGGAATGTCGGGGAATCCCAATATTACAGTCGAGGGAATTCCCTTTCTGCTCACGTGTATCGTCATGCACAGGACATTTCGCGACTTTCATCCATATTCATTGTCCAAACTACGCTTTGAAACCACAGGCCGAGAATGAATGAAACAGCAAACGTGCAGGCTCGCTCGCCTGTTTTTTTCCCGCTCGCCTCGGTTCAACTTTCATGTCTTCGGGTTTCATTTATAACTAGCATTTCTCCAACTGTGTTTTACCGTAATCAGGGAAGTAATGTTTGAATCACGCAGTAAATGACCATGTTATTTGAAACAGCCACCTTCTCTCGGACATATTTCTTCCGGTTCGTTACAGTCTGACTGTTGCAGTTCTTTTCGCCTCTTGCTCAATTGACAGGTCCAATGAACATTGTTTTAATCCCACTCTCCGTTGATTGGCTAGTGACTGTATAGGCGTGTCAAGTTATGTGCATAAATTAAACGATCACCTGATTCATGTCACGCCACTGTATGTATTCCTACACCTGGAATGTTTATCAATGTCGTAATTTTTGTCTGTTTTGATATATGCAACTATTTTGGGTTAAACTATTGTAGATAAAACATGTTTTACGTTGTCGAATTAATTATAAGCATTGACTGTATCCTTTTTTGGTTCATTGACGTATGAATCGAAAAACCGATGTGCAAACTTTTGTAAGAATCCGCTACAGTTTGCCCATCGGTTTTTCGATTCCTACCTCAATGAACCGAAAAAAATACACAGTCAATCCTTAAATAATTACTACAATTTTTATTTTGCAGTTTGTTGTATTGTTACCACTGTTATGAATTAACCTCCTTGTAAATGAAATATATTATATATAAACATGTGTTAGCGTTTGGACACCGCACTCAACCACAGGTTGGTCTCATCACAATGACAGCTATTTTGGTGGTTGTGTTAATTCAGTTTGACGTTTTTGTTGTCAACTACAGGGCACAGATAGCACATATAGTGCCACGGTGATAATGCATTTAAAGAATATTCCTTTCATTTTCTATTGCTTTTATGTTCCCTATGCGCTATAATATTAATATAAGTGTTTTCAATGAACGTGTTGATTTTGCATCCTTTAGTACATGGGATTTTTAGGGACATTTTATGTCACTTTAAAAAAGCATGATACATTGCAGTGCGTTTATCCTCATACACATATGATGATGCACCTTTGACATATTGTCTTGCCCTACATATTATCTTCATTGCTTAACCACGTCTCCTTGAACCCACAATCGCCTTAAAAAATGTCATATTTCATAGGTTGTCTAATTATCTGTGATATTTTACGTGCGATTCAAACAATTAACAAATAATGACTGCTCCCCATGGCTGCGCATGCGTAAAACGGCGCTGGAACAGCTATGACACAACATGAAATTCGCGGATATTACGAAGGCTTAGTTAGTAAGTAATTAATTAAGTTGGGTGTTTTTATAGGGATAGGGATGTAGGGGATGGGGAGTTTTCATATTATAATCCAGCCCCTATATTACTGAAAATGTATAAGGTGTCCTTTTGTTTATTGACGTATCAAGATGTCTGTGTTTTGGAAAAAAGCATTTAGACTTCTAAACATTAAATAATATGATGGTCTCAAAGATCAAAATCCAACCCCACGCCCCTTTGAAAATCAAATGGCTGCTCCCTAATGGCTCACTTTCAAACACAGATACTTCCACAGAACTGTCACGATTGTCGTTTGTCGCTTCTACGCTTTTCACAAATTAGTATCATTGTAATTCTTCACTACCAGCTATGTCGTCTTTCTTCAGATCACTAGGGTTGATGCAGCAGCCAGCCCAGGGACCCCCGGCTATGCAGCCAGCCCAGGGACCCCAGCTTGTGCAGCCGACGCAGGCACCACAGCCGACAACTGTTGCTAACCAGACGCCCTCGTCGTCGATGATATCGACTTTGTCCACCCCTTTTGCCACCCCTATGTCAACAACGCCTGCAGCCACAGTGGCAACACGTCAACGAAGGCCGGCGCCGCCCCCAATAAATGTGATCAAACAATTGTTTTTGTGTATATTTTCTGATTCAACCCATTCAACCCGTTCTACTAATTCTACACATACTGGTTTTGTCTACGCTGTCTTACTCGTGTGTGTAATGTGTATATAATGCTTGTGTTTCGTTCAAAATTGAGTCGTCAAGAAGTGTAAGATGTAATATTTCCCAAAATATATCAACCTGTGGAATCAAACATCGATCAGCGTATTATGCGTACACTTTAACAACCAGGCTACCCTGCCGCCTGTAAGATGTTGTGATTCAGTAATATTGACATGTACTTACACTTTGAATATATAAGTAAAATATTTATATTTACAATTGGCTGACATCTTAATTTATTGTGGCAGCTTGTCAAGGCCGAGCTGCTCCGGTTGAGGGAGGAGAACCGGCGACTCCGGGAAGAGAACCGGGAGATTAAGGAGGAGAACCGCAAGATTAAGGAGGAAAACAGGAGACTGAAGGTAAATCAAGTCAGAAACAAGAATGAATTCAGGTCTAACACCAATGTGAACAGCATAATAGTCTTGTGGTGGCGTGACACCTTGATGTTGACACAGGCCGTAAATACAGGGTTGATCATACGTCTTTTGTCAGCACAATGACGTAATCGAGTCTATGAACCGCGAGATATTCTCTTCGAATATTGATATTAACTACTAGATGTATTGTAATCAGTTTTCGGAACTTCATATTTATGAAAACGAGAGATTGGCACATGAATTCATATTCCAGTGTACAGGTACTTAGGAAATAAGCCTAGGCCAAATGAACGGTTTGACATTCAGTTCATAACTCACATTGATTACTAAGCGTTGTTTTATTGTCAGGGTTATACTTTGTTTAGGCGACTAAAGGAATCGGGTGGTCAAGCTCGCTGACTTGGTTGATACATGTCATTGTATCCCAATTGCTTTAGATCGATGATCATGATGTCAATCACTGAATTGTCTGGCCCAGACTCGATTATTTACAGACCACCTTCATATAGCTGGAATTTTGCTGAGTGCGGCGTTTAACAACAAAACAACAAATATAGCTAGTTATTGTAGTTATATATTGTTGAATAAAAATCTCCCTGAACAAACAAGGTATGTTTTAGGGTTGGTAACAGGCATGCTTATTGGGAAACATTTGTTTGGGCCACCTGTAGTTTCCACGCACGCTATACAATATGCATAACGAACATGTAAACTGTCTGTGTGTTCACATGAAGATAATATCAACTCTTACATTCCTCCTTAGGGTGTCCCGTTGACTTTGGCGGCACCATCCACTTCGGCAGCACCCTCTACTTCGGGGGCACCCTCCACGTCGGCGACGGTGACTTCAGGCACTTTGGCGACACAGAGGGGTCCAAATGTGAGTATACTATGAAGATAATTCTCATTGACAGTGTAAGACTCATCTATTTTAAATAACTCTCTTGCCATGTAGCCTCAGATGCCTGAATTAATCGTCCTTGATATTTTAGGGTTCAGCCTCACCATCACTTTTTCTTCCTTCCCTTAGCATTTCAGTTATACCTCGTATTCAACATTCCTGTGCACAAATACATATCTTTGGGATTCCGGGATAGAATATCCTCATGTTGGTTGTGAGAGGTGACTTTGTGGATCGGGTGTTCAGGTTACGTGACTAATTATACCCCGTTCACATGCACAACATTTACAAACGTAAATAATTTTGCACATGTGTAACTATACATTCGTGTGTATATGTAAATTAACTAAGCGTTCACATGAAAATCAACTTAGGTGTTTAAACAAAGTACCGTATTTTCTTGAGTATAGTGCGCACCCATGTATAATGTGCACCCCCCTCTAACGGGTTCAATATTTTGGAAAAAACGAAATTTGAATATTATGCGCAGAAAAAAATTACACCGTACCCCTTCAGCGAAGTCCGGCAACGGAACGGGTGATGAGAAACTTCGTCAGTACAAATTCAAAATTTGAGATACAAAATCACCAGACGTGTTGATTTACCGTTTATATTGTATTTTTTGTTCAGCTAGGCATTGTTTTATATCCAGGGATTAAGATTACCTTGTGTATTTTCTCGTAAACTAAGCCGGAATTAGCAATCAGCTGTACAATGGTTTTCTTGGAATCTACCGGTGATTCAGTCAAGATACACCCAATGATGTAACTTTACAGTATTTTAATGCAAGGATCGGCAAAAGTTGTATCTGAAACTATTTTTTTATCAGGAATAATATATTCCAATATCTTGTTAATTTAGATGCAGCTTTTACTAAACACACTATAATAATAATAACCCTAAGCGAAGCAGCTGATCGCTATTGCCGTTTATTATATTTTACATGGAACCAGTCTGACCAGTCACCGTCAAGGCTCCCGTGCACGTGATTGGAGAATTACGTGTTGACATAGAATCGTCCAACAAAAACAAATATGACTTTAACAAATCAAAGTATGGCATTTATGATATATGTATCCATTCTCTGTCAACTTAAGTTTGTTTCAAGGCACCAATAGTGGTAATCTGACTGTGGTTGCTGTTAATAACGGTGAGTTGTGCGATCTTCCGATCGCTTCACACATGATTTCGCCGAAATTAATTAAAACAATATTAAAATATTTTGAATAAAATCAATGAAATAAGTTACAAACATAAGTCCAGATATACAAAGAACACTTTTTATAGCCAGACAGTGTAATTACATGAATAAATTGCGAACTTCAGTATGGATTTGTTGACATGGTATTTCCGGTGTTACGTGCTCACGGTAATGTCTTTCCATGGGGGAAAAAGCATCAAAACTCATTAATTCGTGTATAATGCGCACCCCCTTCTACACAGCTGTGTTTTTTGGAAAAAAGTGCGCACTATGCTCAAGAAAATATTGTATGTAAGTTGTGTAAGGCACACATATTCGTCAGTCTGTATACGACTTTCAACACGAAACAGGTTGTTTTCCAGTCAAAGTTGAATGAGAAGAGTAACTTCACCGAAAATCTTCGCATGAAGCAACATGTGTTTGATTTAATTTGTACACAAAGTTTTGACTCCTTGAAACCAAAAGATAACACTGTCCGCTCAACTCTGTATATACGATATAAAAGTTGGCAACTGTTGACAATTCGTTTGCTGCTGCCAAAAGAACAGATATTAATTAGATCATCCTCTTACGTGAACATAAACGTTCACATTGCAACATGCACACACCGTGCAAATTTACATTTGCACCTGCTCCAGACATTCAAATTTGCTCCTGGTGTAAATATGCACACATGAGTAAACGCGTTCACATGACAAGTATACAGTTTTGAAACTAACTGTTTTTGTCCACTAGTCCTTATAATGATAACATATAGCAAAACCCTTAAAATGGGCCAATTTCTACTAGTCCTTAGGATACCTTCACTATTGGGCAGTTTGGTAAGGACTCCAGGACTAGTGCCGATTTCTAACGCTGATACTCATGTAGGTATTTCTACACACACATGCACATGTACACACATATGTATAGAGGTGCATGTGAACAGGTATTTATTGATTTCCTGCATCGTATCTCAACGCTGTGGACCGTTGCTCACAATATCATCACATGGTGATGATTTTCTATATTTATCTTTTTGTTGTTTAACGCCTCACTCAGCAATATTGCAGCCACACGAGATCCAAGCATGGTGATCTTCCTTCAGTTGTTGGCGATGTATGGCCTTTTTTAATATTGTACTGTAAAATATACTCTTCAAAAAATGAAACGCAAAGTCAGATTTCATAGAACCTTCATCAACAACCAGATTTATCGCGGAATAAAATAGTTCCACAAAACGAGAGGTGATATGAGCTTATGTATACTTAACAGGAACAACTTTTGTAGTTTCTGTATACAAATGTACTCAAATAATATCCTCATTAGGCGAGAAAGGTCTGTTAAGAACTACCTAGGTCACAATGACAGCACGTCGTAATACACTTACATCAAGTATGAGGCGTTAAAATGTCCGACACGATAAACGTGACTGCAGAGATATCCAAAGTTTTTAATGAACTGGTGACTATTACAAGTGTTCGTCATTACTGATCAATTGGCCGATGACTGAAAGGTGATTGTAAAGATGTGTGGAATAGATACTGAGGTACATTCATATATTGCTGTAGACTGTCACTGTAGTCTTTACACGGATCATGTTGATACTACTGTAGTTTGGGTGTGCTTTTCTTCGTTTTGTTCTCTAAAATGGGTTGTGGCGAGGATATCTTTGAACGGACATGCCATTAAACTCTCTGACCTATCCCAATGTATGCTAAAACGCTAACTTCAAGATTAAATGGTCTAAATGATAAGAAACAACGCTTCTGTATTTATTCGCAGGGGTTCCCCAAGGAATGTGGAAGTAGTCTGTCAGTTTTTTCGTTATTTCAATCAAGAACATGGTCTCATTACAAAATAGATGAACGTCTAATTGTGTAGTTCATACACTTATGAATGTCAATTTAGCGGTCATGTGACCGACCTCTTGTCTTTAAATTAAAAAAATTATAGGTGGTTAGAATGCATGATTAATATAATAAAGTGCTGTGGTTTACTTAACGTGATTGATAATCCTTATTCAGTTACGACTAAGTGGCTCACCAACCGTGTCTAAGATTCTTTAAAGGACAAGTTCCTTCAAGAATAGTGATGCAATATCATATCTGGTTCAAAAGATAGTCTATATGAGTTATCAAACCTGAGCTCTCCTTTGAGAAATACCTCTTACTAAACCCAAACTCATCTTTCCCGCTATCAAAATTTAGAAGTTGTAATCACATAATCCCAGTAGGAATATTGTTGGATGCAGCGTTACATAACATTCAAAGTATGTATACAATTTCATAAATTGTTCTATGAATATTTATCTAGTGTTAATTTTATCTCTAATCTTTGGTTTTGAGTAAATAAATGAATTTGAATCTGAAGATGTTTTCCTTGAAATTGCGGTTTGCCTTAATCAAGTAAACTAATTCTTTTTGAAATGTCAGGATTATCACTACACCAGAAAGTGTAACTCAGACTCCAATATTCCTCACAAAAGCCAACCCACTCACTCAAAGTATCAAAAAGTTTAAAGGTATCTTATAATGATGATATACGTGTTTCTCAATGGGTGTTTTTTCTCCCAGACGCAGACACAAAATAATATCCAAGACCAACTGCGCAGACAGAGAACACTCAACCAGCAGCGGCAAAGACTGCAGCAACAGCACCAACAGAGACAACAGGAACAAAGAGAGAGACTGCAGCGACTTGCGAGGGAAAGACAACAGCAGCCCTACCAGGAGCCGTTGCGCGTTTTGGACGAGGCACAGGGGACTTCGGTAAGATTTTATTTCATCTATTATAAATTGGGACCGACTTGCAATATTCCTTAGACATTCCAGAAACTAGGTTTGTCAGCACCATATCATGTGCTCGAGGGTTTCATCAAAGTGGTAAGCGAGAATCGTCCATCACTGAGCTTTCCTCACCGTATTATTCCTGGTAAGAGGGACTGTTGAACCCTTGGCTATAGTAAGGTGTATTGTTTTCTTTCATTGCAGAGAAGAGGCCGTGTGCGCAAGCCGGCAGGAATGGTGCAAATGACGCTAGGAGGAGGAATGACGAGTAAGTTCTTTTTGTTTGTTTTATTTTATTTCAATTCAGTATATGATATTACAGAGTAGTACATTAAGTAGCACGTCATGTGGTATATTTATTAGATGGAAGTTACATACCTATACAGCAGACAGCAAGTTGGCTACAGATGGGTTGTCACACAGAACTTATGTTATTCCATGTGTTAAGCCCATTCTAATCCTCAGCCCTGATATCAGCCGAATAATGCTATACAGGCACAATGCCCCACTCACTCGCCCACACTTCCCCCAGTGAAGAGGCGACTAACATGATCAGTGGTGAGGATCGTTAACTTGGTTCATGAATGTCATCGTATTCCAGTTGTAGAGATCGATGCACATGATGAGTCACTGGATTATCTGGTCCAGATGCAATTATTTACAGACCGCCGCCATAGCTGGAGCATTGCTGAGTGTGGCGTTAAACAGACAAACATACTTTTCACGGACATTTCACCCTATATTACTAATGCTGCTACAACTACTGCTTCTTCTACACACTCTCGGGGTGACTGACCCAGGGCAGACGAGGTAACCCAGTACCTAAATTATGCTTGCTGTCGAATACATTCAGGGCCAGTCACAAAGTGTGGGGGCGGACGGGTAGCCTAGTGGTTAAAGGGTTCGCTCGTCACGCCGAAGACAATGAGTGAAGCCCATTTCTGGTGTCCCCCGATGTGATATTGCTGGAATATTGCTAAAAGCAGCGTAAAACCATACTCACTCACTCACTCACAAAGTGTGATTGTGCCCGCGTTGATCCTTCTAGCATGCCACCGATCACTGTTTCAATGGCAGTCAACTATTTGCTGATATTGCTGGAATATTGCTAAAAGCCGCATAAAACCAAACTCACTCACTCACTCACATCTCAGATGCCCCTATAATCGTGTGTTAGATTCCTGATACGCCCCGATAATCTTTCTAGGTTTATCAGCATCACACCAAAGTAGTAAAGTTTGAAACCTGCATTACTGCTGGCGTTCCTCCAACAACAAACTGGTCTGTCCACTGAGAAAATACGTGTTAAAATGTGTTAACATGAATTTGATTTTATATGAAATTGGTGTGTGAAGAGGATCTATTTCAATTGACATACTTTCAAACAATACACTGGCATCACGCTGGTGCTTTAATTGGTTGTTTCTACACGTCACTGAACTTTCTCCTTCCGCTTCAGGCGAGGTTACAAGGGAACAGCAAATGTTAATACGAAAAAGGCGACGGTAGACGCTGACAATAGATGCCATCCATGCGCAGTTGCACAAGCCTCAGTATCACCATCCAGCAACCAATGGTCTCTCCATCAACCATACAGCAATCTATTCCTCCTTCAAAGACAGCGACCACGTCAACCTGGTGTCACCTCTCCAGATGCAGTAAGTAAACTGAAGTCATAAACCAATTATTTATGTCATAGAAATTAATTCTTTACGGCAAACATTGTTACCATCATATGGAATCAAGATTTAACTTCTACGTCATATCTCACTGTAACAGCTTTGTCAGTATATGCATTCCCCATACTCGTCCTTCCACTATCAACAACTTCGATAAGGACCATGCACACGCAAATAGATCGTCATGTATGTTTATAAACGTTACTAAATAAATTCTGAAATTAATAAAAACACTGTTTCTTCTTCAGGTGGTGGCCACGGCTAGCTTCAACACCTCTGCTAATAACAGAGGAATTGACACCCTCTCATATACTCTGTATACTTGAGAGATAAGATACATGGATATAAAGTATTTCAGAAACCTAGACGTATTAAGCATATTCCAAAGATGACAACTGAGCATCTTGGAGTTATTCTGAACTGTATTTGTCTGTGGACCTTGGTACAGCGTCCTGCTTTTGTCCCGATCGTCCACTTACAACTCCTTGATGATGTCCATGTGTACCTCCCAGATGACTCGGCAGCTGTTGAGGGTTGTTTCATGTTTCATGGCTCATATTCCTACCTGAAACACCCGCTAACACCTTCCAGTTAAACGATGACATTTCATTTCTATATTATTGTTCCTCTGTATGAAGGGACATCTGATCACAATCTGTACATACACAGCTACCGCTGCCACAGCCGTGTACCACATCCGTTTTCTACATCTGTTTCCGCTCTTGTATTTGGTGAGTATATGAACGCTATGACTGGATACTTTATACACTTAAGACTGGAAACATGTAGCGCCGCCGCTATATTGCACAAACAGCCTTAGATATCAGTAGACAAATCAACATAGTAATATATATATATATATATATATATATATATATATATATATATATATATATATATATATTACTATCACACGTCTGTGTTTTGGGATCACATAATCTCGTATTGGAACAGACATTGTGTTTCGTGAGCCTTAGTATCACCAGGTGTCATTACCAAGTACCAGGACAAATTTATTCGAAACAAGCAGCGAGGAAAGATCACCAAGCAAGAAACAATAACTAAACAAGCGTACAGTCAACGACGTCATCTATATCCCCCACCCATTTTAACACGTTATGGTCCCAAACCAGGTAACTGACCCCACGTTTCTCTTAGCACATGTCAAAATAGCTGCAATGGAAATTCTAAAATAAACATTTCTAAAACGCTTTTATATCAAATGGCACCAGTTCAGTATGTGTTTTATATGTAGACATGCAATGTTAAGCAAGGAAATATTTAACAGTTTATTACTCCGTGAGTGAACCCACCCTATATCAAAACTTAAATCCAATTGTTGCCATGGAAACATAAAAAATATAAATTTCTAAAATTCCTAAATAGCAAAAGGCACAACTTCACTGTCTCACTGACAGATTTTCCAAGTTTCGATCAATTACACTGAATTGTTTTCGAGTTCTGCCCTGGAAAAGGAAATGGTTACGGACGGACGGACTGGCTGATCGCTGTATCCCCCCGCATTATATGCCGGGGGGGATAATAAGGGCCACACTCGTGTAAATTGATTGTGATGTTTATTTTTAAAGGTCACTGAATAATTCTGAAATAAACTAAATTCTGTTTCCTCTTCAGGTTTGATGACAAGCTACCTTCTCCAAAACCTCTGCCAATCACACCCCTTAATGTGCAGGAATTGATACCCTCTGATATACTCGACATGTCCGTGGTAAATTGATCCGTATAATTATAGATATCAACACTTTTATGTTGTCTTGACTTGCACCAGATAATGTATCGTGAAAGTAGACAAAGTATTTCGGAAATCTGAATCTGAAATCTACATGAAGGTTACAAGTGAACATGTTAGTCTTATCAGTATCTGTTGTTGGTGGATGATCATTCCAGAATTACACACAATGCAAGTCCGTGATGATGTACATGTGTACCTCCATATGACTCGGCAGCTTTGAGGTGTTGAGGGTTGTTCTAGTTGAACTATGACTCGGTTGTATTCACAAGCATTTCTCTAGTACCTGTATTCAGTGAACGTCTTTAGTCAGGAAATTGTTTGAATGATTTTGAAACAGGAAGTTCTTACTCATTGAAATGAGCGTGTCAGATACCACTGCTATGTCAGTAGAAGTATCAAATTGATTTGGTTGAAGACTCAACTCAACAAAGTATTTCAGTTACAATTCTTCATACTACGAGTTAAAGACGGATATTCCTAATCATGTGCGGTGCTATATGATAATGGCATTGAGGGCTACCATTTTTCTCAACTGTGAGGTTGGCCTGGGGAGCTGTCTGTCCATGGGATGTAGACACAACTGTCTACCAGAAAGATTGATGTCTGCTGGACAGAAAACAATGCCAAGGTGAGTTTCAAACTGTTACCCGTCTTTTCCTTTACAGAACACTCCTCAATTCTAAATAATTATTCCTTTGTGAATGACATGACATCGGATCAGTCTGTAGATATTCAGGTACCCCTGGCCCATCTGCCCACTACACCCGTCTATCTGCCTCGGCTCTTGTCTGGGTGAGTATCTGGTCGCTGGGTTTAACTGAATACACAATGAAGACAATAGACATCTAGACATGTCTCTATAGTACGCTACTACCCTGTCATATATCAGTAGACGAATAATATCAAGAAAGATATATAGAATATCATCCATAAGGGCAAGGACATTTTTTGCAAATATCTTCATTCATTTTCCCTGAGCATGACATTTCTTATTCCCTACGTCATCCCATTATTCCATTGTTTTCAAAGGGTACAACAGCAACGTCACGCCATATCAACACATTGTGTGTATATACTTACTGATGACTGTCTGTTTTATGTGATGTTGTTTCAAAAATGGATCAACTGAGTTGATGTCTAGTGATGAAGAAACATTTTTTTCAGTAATGACTATCGTAATAAATAGAATAGCCTACTCGCTACACGGAGGGCCAGATTATATGTCCCTTGTCAAATGCTGAACTCCTATGTCAAGTATCGGGACAAATTAATTCACTCAGGACACGTCATCCATCAGTCTTGCTGCAATTATCTGTTAAATGTTTCGATGAGGATAATAAAGATATAAATATATACATGAATATATATTCTACTCAAAAGAAGTTAAGGATCACCCAATTCTTTCATATTACTCTAGTTAATCTCTCATGCCATGGCAGATTAACTTTACCAATATGAAAGAATCGGGTGATCCTTAACTTCTTTTGAGTAGTATACATGCATGATAACCCGTCCACCATCTTGTTTTGTATAAAACAAATGCATCTTTCTCCAACAGGCATTTCGTCCGAATATCGATGGACTAGTTTGGACTCTCCCAGCTGTATGAACTCCAAGGACTGGAGTGGCCCAATAGCCATGCTGCTCCCACCTGTGATTGTCACACAAAAGACTACAACATGACAATCAGTACGATCATGTTCACCACACTGTAGTTGTAAGTGTATCATATTGCCAGAACCCTTGGTAACAAAGTCTTTCATTAATTCAATGTCTTTCTCCTTGATCAGTTAATAGTGTCTTCAATGTCACCTGTTTTTTAGTACAAGTACTCCTAACGTCAGTGCATGGGTGGATTTAAAGGGACACCAACCTTATGGTTTCGTACCACCATCACTCCACAGCATGTGACCAACTCTGCTTAGGAAAATGCGTTAGCCATATTGTATTACAACTTATTTTGGCCTCAGGAGGATATATACAGGCGTATTTTAGCCATGCTACCCTGGATATATACATTCTAAATAAACAAACTTTCATATTTTGCCTAAGAATTGGAATTCCAAGCTACAAATAGTTCAGTGTTCAGACCTGTTGGGGTGCACATTTTCACCCTAGTTTTTGTAAAAAAATTCTGCCTGAAAGAATGAATATGTACAGATGTGGTTGAGCCATGCTGCTCTGGATGTATTTATTTGATGCCTTCAAAACATATCTAGTGATTGGCCAAAGATGAGTACATCAAGGTCTTCCTGAATAATGCCGGAAACTTCAAAATCATGATGATGAACATGTGCTATGCATATATCCTGTTACCTTAATTGTCTCTGCATTTTGAAATATGTCTTCAGCAACCCATGCTTGTAAGAGACGACTAACGGGATTGGTCGGTCACGCTCTGACTTGGGATACATTAACGTGCATCAACCAATTGGGTAGATCGATGCTCTTGATAATAATTCATGGATTGTCTGGCCAAGACTTGATTATTTCCAGACCGCCGTCATAGCTGGAGTATTGCTGAGTGGGGTGTGAAACAACAAACATTAGGATGTGTAAAATATGTGATTACTATGTGTTCTTCTCTATCATAACATTTGTAAAATATTTTTGAATAAAGTTTTAGAACTGGCTATATCGTGTTGTCACCTGGTGTCGCTGCAATGTCCTGTCACGTCGCTTTGATGTGCCTGGATCTGCTGATCATGGTTCGAATTCCAGATTCCTGTTTTTAAGCACCACGCCCGTGCTGACTAGTATTACAAGTTCTTGTAGGACCTACACTTTCTTGATTTCCTCCCACATGAAGTTGACACATTGTGGTACAACTGCAATACTGTTCCAAATGGCCTGAAAGTCCGAATGTTGTGCCAGACTACAAGGGCAAATGTTAAGCTCAAATTGGCAAATTACATTCCTCCCAAAATCAGCAAAATCCCAAATCAGCTGAACGACAAAAGAAATGCGAACAATAAAATAGATGTATGAACCAAACATCAACGATGTGTGGCAGTTAACGCTTATGGCAGAGACGCAGATGATCAATGCTATCTGACTCATTCCTGACCAACTCGTGCCAATCCGACACAAGCCAAATAGAGACTGGTGTCGCCTCGAAGGAAAACACATTGGCATAAAACACCAGTGTTGCTTCAGACAAGAACGATAATTCTTACCAAGCGTAGAACAAAAGCATACATTTTTCTTAAAAAGTTCATAAGCATGCAGTTCAACGCATTTATTCATGTTCAGATTCAGATTACAAATTAAAATTTTAAAATTAGATGAAAAGAACTGACAATGTAATATTCAAACACATTGGGGATTGAGAGTTAGACTTACAACTCCATTAAGCTTTGCTTGTCATTTAAGGTAACTTAATAGATCAAGTGTTCAGGCTCGGTGACTTGGTTAATTGCATGTCTTCATATCCCGATGGCATGGATAGCTCACACTATGAATTACTGTTCGTTGAATTCATCGTCTGTAGTTGGCAACATATGCAGTTCACATCTCTATCTATACCAAGCCAAAGGTCATTTTCCGACAGGCATATTAATGTTACAAGTTCAATATTTTAGAATAGGATAATAAATACATGTATGATCAGATTGGAGGAAAAGTTTTCAAATGATTGGGTATATTTTAAATTTTTATAATACTCTTGAACTTCTCTTGACAATTTCAGGTTTGTGTGGTTTCTGCACTAAGCATTATAATCAGGATCACTGTGTCCAACAAGGCAGCATTTTTGTCTGTCCCACTGTTCAGTATGAAGATTGATAGTCTTTCAAAGGTTTTAAATGATTCAATTGATGGATCCCTTTTTGTGGATGATTTTAATATTTCATGTCGTGGCACAAATATGCATACTATCGAGACACAAATGTTATATTTTGGATAACACTCTATTTGTTAAGTACAGATTCTTGTACCTTTTGGGGTTCATTCCCGCCGAATCCTGTCATATGGGTACACAAGCATAGGTGGCTGAGTGGGTTAGATCGCAGACTATGTGCTGGCGATTAGGTGCTCACTCTTGCAGTGAAGTTTCACAGATCCAAAAATGGTGTCTTGAAAATGACCCAAGTTCCTAGGACTCATTTTCGGTCACTATTTTACTTTTCGGCCACATATTAATTGTCTTAAACTAAACGCCTGAAGGTTCTAGATTTCTTGAAAGTCGTTGCAAAGAGAAAGTGGGGAGGTGATCAGACAACCCTGCTCCACTTGTATAGGTTCCGGATTGGCTCTAAATTAGACTTTGGCTCCATTGTATATGATGTAGCCTATAACTGTCTTCAGTTGGTAAAGCCAGAAGTAAACTTAAGAAATATGAGAGATATTAACTTATTTAAGTTATCAACAAGAAGCACATGACACTTACAAATCTATATTTACAGACAGATTGAAAGGTGACGATGTTGCCAGCACCAGTCATTGGATCCATTATTATATTTGCTCTATTACCAGAAAAGTTCTTATATATATTTACAATATAGCAAAACCACACGCCATTTTAACAGCTTTAAAGTATATTGGTAAACAATCTAAGCATATTCAAAATTTGATACATATATAATTTGCCAAGTCCGAAAGTATAAAAGATAAATCAAATGTCAAATCAGTTCAAACACAATATGTGCTCAGGGCCTCACGGGACCGGTCGATTGATAGGTGGTAGAATGGGCCCGGTTCTGTCTTGGTGAAGTCAGGGTCGAAGTGGTGTATTGGACAAAGGAACACTGTTCCTGGAACCAGTGCCCTCAACCACCAGACCACCTTTCTCCACCGACACAGGGGCGCAACTCACGGCAAACGGGCTGCCCAATTCAGTCGCCTCATACGACCAGCAATGGGGTGCTGAGAACACATTCTACCCCGGGTCCACATGGGGGAATTCAGTGTGACTATTCAATATTCGGCACTCGTGAAGCGCAACCTCCCTGTGGTGAGTGCTGGGTAACGCCAATAGATCTTCCCCC